TAATAATCAATTTCAAATAATTGTATTCGGTTATTTATAAAGTGAAATTTAAGCACAATATTAAATAATCATAGTAAATACCACACGAAACTTACTTTTGAATGGAACGCGCGCCACTATTTTTTTTTGTCCGATCTTACACGCTTTGACATCTTCTGTGGCGGCGTCAAACTAAACTATTTATTATAAATCGCGTGTTGTGTTTACCTGATTAGTTAATGTTACCATATGTAGTGCAACTATTTACAAGTGCATTAAACTTCATTTCGTACGATAATATTTATTAAAACCGTTATTAAATCAAATTTACTGCATCATCTCGAGCCAAAGGCCGAAATCTAGACCCGGCCGGCTTACCGGCGCATCGACCCTACTCCAGGCTAAAAAGTGATATCTAAAGTGATTTTGGCTTTGTATAGGTAGTCTACAGAACTTTATTTTAAGACAAGATATTAAATCATCTGGATCATTTTCATCAATGCTACAACGGGAATTTTCATATCTTAACAAATCTTCACATTTTATCTTCCTGAAAAACAGTATTGTTTTTTTAAAAGAATCTATATAATAATTTTATCCATTTTATCTTATTTAATTTTAACTTTTTACTTACCCGTGGTCAGGCTACAACTAAGGTGTCCTGATGACATAGTTGACAAAGGCTACCTCCAACTTTTAAATGTTTTTTTTTGTCCAATCTATGCAGAACAAGCTTTCAGTATCCTGAAGTCTTGCAGTAGTATTTTTGGGTTTGGATTTAATCCAAGCAGATACAGAGTCTTAAATTTGTTGTTGATCTTTTTTTAATGTTCTTGGTAGGAGTGTTCTTTTGTGAGGATTTCTGGTCTATCAAATCTGATGTAATGGTTGGGATGATCCTGAACAGCAGACTTCCCGTACCATTGGTGCTTCTCATCAGCAATATTTGACTTAGTTTTCATAAAATTTGAATTATATGGTTTTATATACAAATTTCTAAAATACTGTTAAAAATTAATTTGTGAATATTTTCTTAAATCTTTTCTTGTTGCTATCCTAAAGGCATCAAACCAGAAGTTGATATTGTGAGTGTGGGTTTGCTCACAATATCGGGTGATTTTGTTTATACACCCTAGAAAATCCATCCTAGGGTGGATAATCGGAAACGCATGTTCATCTATCCACCCCAGACAGGCTGGATAGTCGGAATTTGTATATATTATCTCCCTCGGCTGGTTATAGCCATTTATAGAAACGTGATAAAAACTAGCCCAATATGATCATGCTTTCTGAGTATGGATACTCAGAATGCATGTTCATCTATGTTATGATTTTTTGTGTCGCGAGGATGATAAATCACGCTCTCATAGAATAACAAGGTGATAAAGCCAATTAATGCTACAGTGTCATATGGTGAGTGTGAAGTGTGAAGGACCCTAGGGTGGATTTTTTTAAAGTGGATAAATGGAATAACCTGTTATTGTGAACAGATCAAATTGCACCCACTCCTAGCTTTTTTTTTGTATCTAAGATCTATTGACAAAATTAATAATATTTCAAGATAACTACAGAAACCTGTTAGATATTAAGTAATCACAAAAATAAAATTATTCACTTTATGACCGTAAAATAGTTCCAATGCAAATTCAGCACTGGATACTATAGTATATTATGAATATACATTTGCATTTATGTACGAGGGCGACACTGAGTTTTTAAAACTGGCCACTTGTAAACCATATAATTAAAAAGTTCTAATTTTGAAAATGAAACTCTTTTCCAATATTATTGTGTATGTATTTTATATATTAAATTTGTCATTTGTTTACGATTTGGCGGCAAATTGAAAATTGTCTGTGTCACGTCAGCATGAATTTAACGCAAGAAAATTTTCGTGCAATGATTTTTTATGACTTTCGAAGTAATTTAAGTCAACAAGAAAGTTATGACTTCGATTGCCTTTCACAGTGAAGCCCCATCTCGTGCCACTGTTTACAAGTTACAACTGATTTAATGAGTTTAAACGTAATCGCACTAATTTCATCGATGATTTGCGTGAGGGACGGCCTTCTACGGCAACGACTGAAGATAACATCAGTGTTGTGCGGCATATGATAAAGACTGACAAAAGAGTGACTTATCAGCAGATTCGAATAAAATTAGGCATCGGTATAAGTCAAGTGCACAAGATCCTCCATGAACATTTAGCTGTCAGGAAGCTTTGTGCCCGGTGGATACCTCATAATTTGACAGAGGCCCAAAAACTCCACCGTGTTGATTGGTGTCATGAAATGGTTCAAAGATTTAACGGAGGTGACTCAAATGCTGAGTTCGACATACTTACGGATGACGAAAGCTGGATTTATTGTTGTGATCCTGAAACTAAGAGACAGTCTGCTGTCTGGGTGTTTTTTTCCGAGGAGTTGCCACCTAAAGTGAAGAGAGGTTGAAGTCTGGGAAAAAAGATGGTGGCCTCGTTCTTCGGACGGACAGGTCATTACGCAACAATTGTTTTAGAGGATCGAAAAACAGTTACTGCAGAGTAGTACACTAACAATTATTTGCTACTTGTCTTGAAATTTTTTCTGGAGGATCGACCTCGCAGTAGGATCCTCCTTCACCACGACAAGGCCTCGTCGCACACCGCCAAGCAAACAATCGACTACTTGGCGATGTCAGACGTCGAATTACTGGGTCACCCGCCCTATAGCGCCGATCTCGCACCTTGCGATTTTTATTTATATCCAAAAATAAAAGAAAAACTTCGAGGAAAGCGTTTTATAGACGCCAAGGAAGCGGTGGCTGCGTTTCGAAATGCCGTCGAAGAGACCCCTAAGGACGAGTGGGCAAAGTGCTTTCCTCAGTGGTTCCATCGGATGCAGCGATGTATTGATGTAAATTGACACTATTTTGAAAATATATAATGAAACTAATAACTTGCTAGTTTGTTCAGTTTTTGATTTTCTAAGAACTTTCAGTGTCACACTCGTATTTGTGATTTGTTTGAGCAATTAATGGGTGTTTAAAGATGCACATAAAGCTGAAGGTTTTATATCTAATAAAGTCATCTTACTGACTTTCTTATGCTTAAAATAAATATAGATATAGATTGTGATTCTTTTGTTTATGTAACCAAAGTATGAAAAAGAGTATATTTGGCGGAATGACATTTTCTCCTTTGAGTCTTTACTGGACAATAAAGATATAGTATTTTTATTATAACTTAATCTAAGAAATTCAAGGTGTTACAAGCAGCTGCGTGACTAATAGGATTTTTAGCAATAAAGGGAAAAAGAAGATTTTATTACTGATATATTATATATATATATATATCTATTGCTGGTTGAATCATTCCATTATTTTGTAAAGGTAAGAATGCAATAGGCCTGTTTCATTAATACTGAATTATATTATGAAATTTAATAACATAATAACATTGCATTGCAAATTTTTACTAAATATACTTTATGCCTAATTAATTCTATAATATTTAATTATTGTTTACTTGTATTTTTGATATATATATATTATACTTGGTCGGGTCATAAGTTCTTTCAAAACCTTATTATTTAAAAAATTTGAATACTGGCTAGATGAACTTCATCAATTTTAAAATTATAACTTTTGTGCTTGCCGAAAATAAAAAAGACATTAATTTCCATTCATTTTCAAATATAGAGTGGTCAAAGAAAGAAGATAGAGTAGCGGTTATCGTGTTGCACCACTATGGTTACGCGCCAAAAGAGATTTTGAATATTCTACAAAAATTGAAAATAACCCTACGATTTGTTTATCGTACTATCAAACGATTCACTGAAGATTCAAGCTTCGAAGATCGTAAAAGGACCACCCGACCTCGTACACTAAGGACACCCGCGATCATCAAAGCAGTGAAGGCGCGAATCTAAAAAATCCTGTTCGTAAACAAAAATATTAGCTCTTCAGATGGGCCTAAGCGGAACCACGGTCAAAAGAGTGATCAATGAAGACCTAGGACTACGAGTTTATCGTAAGAAGACCGGACATTTTTGAACGAGCGTTTGAAAAAAAATTTTTAACATCGAAGAAAGTTACAAATAAACAAAATGATAAGGTGTATGCCCACAGCAGTGAAGAAGCCAGCACGCGTATTCCAAGGGTTCAACGAGCACATTATCCTTTGTCAGTCATTGTTTGGCTTGGAGTCTCATATTCAGGCTTAACTGAGGTGTTTTTCTGTGAAAAAGGTGTAAAAACCAGTGCCGAGGTGTACCAAAATACCGTCCTAACAAACATAGTGGAACCTCTTTCTCAAACAATGTTCAAAAACAGACATTGGATATTCCAACAGGACTCTGCACCAGCTCATAGGGCACGAAGTACGCAAAACTGGTTGACCGCCCATGGAATTGACTTTATCGGACATGAAGGCTGGCCCTCTTCTAGTCCAGATTTAAGCCCACTGGATTATAAGATAAGGTAACATTTGGAGGAGAAAGTCTGCGCTAAACCTCATCCGAATTTGGAATCTCTCCGAGCATCTTTGGCTAAAGCAGCGGCAGAAATAGATATGAGTGTGGTGCGTGATGCGATTGATGATTGGCGGCGTCGATTAAAGACATGTATTTAAAATAGGGGAGGGCATTTTGAATTATGTATCTAAATAAAATTATATTCTAAATTAAATTACCTTTCATTTCATATATAATTTCTGTAAAATTATCAAAAAGTGTATCATTAATTTTATTAAAAAAAATTGATAGAACTTATGACCGACCTGACTAAGTATAGGTCATATATGAATAGCTTCATTTGATAAACAGATTATAAAGGAAATTAAATAATTTGATTAAAACATACATATCTGAACAGAAACCGTATTTTTATTAAAATAATATCTCATGTAAAATAAGTCTAATAAAGGTACATGTTGTATACAGCATAAAGGTATTTTTTTATTGAAAATTTATTAGGTTATTTTTAAAGTAACCCTTAGAGAAAATAATTAATTTTCTTTTTAGAAATGCGTGTATTAATTTCAGGCATATAGAGGTTACAACCGGACCTTCTCAGCATTTCGTATTTAGTATTCGATTCTATAGCGGAGTTGATCGTGGCACTGTGGGGTTTTCAGCACCACAGCGAAAATGGGCCACTCTGTCTATTGGGCAGGTTAGTAGAAAATAGTTTTTATTACTTACAATTATATGTATATGAGTCAATTTCAAAAAAAAAAATTGTACGTACACAAAATAAACACAATGGAATTTGTTACACAAAAGAAGATATGTTACACAAAACATATTTGTAAAGCAGTATTCATATGGGATACTTAGAAAATAAAAACACCATAATTCATTTTTAAATACTTTTCTGGATTTTGTACGGGTGAGAGTTGGGGGAGGGAAGCACCACGCCACTCAACGTAGCACAGTAGAGGGTAGCCAGGTCGACGGAGCCCCGCTTGGCGGTGCTCCTACTTCAGAGTAGTTTATAAAAAAATAACCACGAATGAGATGGCGGGATCTATCCACTCGCTTCGCTCGCTCACATACCCCGCCATCTCCTTTTAACCTAACCTGTTCAAGTCGGGATGCCCTAAGCCCCGAGCTCGCTTCGCTAAAAATTTAATAAATAAACCTTAATATTTGATAGTTTTTTGTGTAGTTTAACAAAAAATATATAAACTTCATTTAACCCCTAAATCCCAACAAAAATCTCATGCAGTCGCATGCGCCCGGCAAATCCCGAGCGGTCGCATGCGACTGCACCCACCCGCAGCACTTAAAATCATTAAAACTTATATTTAGAGACTACTTTTCTATGAGGAAATTTAGCATTATAAAATCTATACAAAATTCTTTATATAAAAGTCAGGTTTTACTTCATTACAAAAAGACTATTGTATTTTTGATAACAAAAAGAAAACATACCAAGCGAATGTCGGCAGCGTGAAAATCACAATTATTTCAATACATATTACTCGAAATTATTTATGTAAAAAGATAAATTGTATTCACAAAAATACTTTCATTCCAATTTTATAATAAAACACTAAATAAACACTAGAAAAATCCAAAAATAAACATTTGAAGAAATGAACGTAGATTATAAATAAATATTCATATGATAACTTGACTTGTTATTGCACTAGAGGATAGGAAATTTCATATTGATTCTATAATGCCAAACTTATTCATAGAAAAGTAGTCTCTAAATATAAGTTTTAATGGTTTAAAGTGCTGTGGGTGTGCGCGGTCGAATCCGACCACTCGGATTTTGACGGAATAGCGCCGCGGTCGGATTCGTCCGCTTGGGGACTGAAGAGTTAATGCTTTGCAAAAAAGTTATGAACGATTATATTCGAAGAAGTGCGTTTATGATCACATTTAAAGTCATAAAACTATATGAAATTTTCAGGTGAGACATTTTTCATATTTTTTTCATAAATCCGCCATAAAAACGAATATTTTAGAAAAAATTATCGAAATCGGACGATTTTTAGATTTTCTAGAGCCAAAAAACAAGGGGACCGCGAAAGTATAAAATTACCATAAGAAGGTACTCAAACGAACTAAAGAAGGCAAAAACGAAGACAAAAACATAATCCTTTAAAGCAAAAACAGAAAGAAAAACTTGCACTACGTTTGTATAAAGAGGTCGTGCTTACCCCTTCGCCAGTAATTATATAACGTAAATTGCAAAACTTAAAATCTAAGAGCAACAGAAATTATGAACAGATGTCGATGTCGTCTTACGAATTCATTAACTTTTTTTAAGGTATCCCGCTGAAACAAATAAATTGAGCAAAATAAGTTGGTTGCGCGGAAAACCATTCGCATTTTTTTTTGTATGACGGTAGGACTTGCCGAATCGTTATTCCTTTCCAAAACGATATCATTCGTACCCTCCTATCGACACATCGGGGGGGGGGGGGGGGGCGGGGAAAGAAGATGATTCTAGAACATCGCGTAATCATCGGAGCCGAGGATATATAAGGCACGCGCGACCGATGCGCGGCCTCTCTCTCTTCCCGCCGCGCTCGCCGTTGAAACCACAGCTCTCTCTCTTCCCGCCGCGCTCGCCGTTGAAACCACAGCTTTCTTCCCGCCGCAGCCGTCGTTGAACTACAACGCTTCTCTCCCGACGCACCCCTGGGGCCCCAGAGTGTCTGTCCAGAAGAAGTTCCGGAAGTCGCCGCTATAGTGCTCTAAAAGATAGAAGAACCCCGGTGAGTCAATATCCATTATTATACCTGCTTGATAATAGTTTTAACCCGCTCCAACTTTGTGTTTTCCTAATCAAGCAGGATTCCTTTAATCGATTTGGCAAGTAATAGTTTTAGTTTAGGGAAGAGCGAGTGCATTGTACCGCATGCTATAGTAGTCGCTTTTACGTAAGCGTAGAAGCAATTCGCATATACAGTCCACTTTAGTTAATATCTCGCGTAATAGGTTTAAGGTTCGACCGGGGAACTAGATTTTCGGCAGCCTTAAACACGTGGCTCCACCATTTTATGGTCACTTCGGGCAGGATCTGGATTGGTGTTTAGTGGTTATCCAACCATTTTCTGGTCGAATAATTAGTGTTCGTAAATAGTGTAAATAGTGTTCGTTTAAATTTAAATTTGATTAGGCACTCGCAAACAGAATTGTTTATTTCATAGCGCTCGTATTTGGTTAAATTTAAAGCTTTAAAATTGAAACAGTGTGATAGCAACCGTTTGATACGCTTACCCCACAATTCTGATAAAATTATTGAGTGTAGCAAACGACGCGTCGCCTCGACTGCAACAGGTGTTCGATTTAATTACGTAATACGGCATACCGAGTGTCCATCGTCCATCGTTTATGCGTGTGAGATTAATTGTGATTAATATAATTTCACTATAATAATTTAAAAAGGCAGTTAGCGGAAGTGAAATCAAAATTAAAACGCTTTATGCCAAGAGGGACATACTTTTTTCGCGTATGCAGAATATAAGTGATTATATAAAGAACATTAATATAGAAGCAGTGCGGGAAACCTTTTTGAATGAAATCGAAACGATAGATTCCTTGCGGATAGATTACGAAAGAATATTAGACCAAATTAATCATTTGGAATTACAAATCGACCCGAAATACATAGTGAACTACCAACCGCTGCTGGCATTCGAAGATATGTTGTGTCGCGTGAAAAGAACTGCAAAACTCCTACAATCTCAAAGCGAAGCAAAGCCGGAAATACAGGTACGTCCTCGTGACTCAATTAGGTTGCCGCCAGTAGATATTCCGGTATTCAATGGTGATATTAAGACGTGGCCCTTCTTCTTCAGTAGTTTTCAAAACAATGTACACAACAACCCATCGTTATCGGACGCTGAAAAATTATATTACTTAATTAGTAAACTTAGTGGCAGAGCACAGTCGATCTTCTCGGGTTTTACACCTACAGCAAACAATTACTTATTAATATTTGAAACGCTTAAAACTAAATATGAAGATAGGAGAATGTTAGCTTCCGAATATTTGAACCAGATATTCGATCTTAAACCTATATCATCCGCGAACATCAACGGCTTAGAGCAGTTTCTAGATAAATTTGTGGCATCGGTGGCTGCACTTAAGAATTTGAAGTTTAATGACCTTATGGACGTGGTGTTTCTCCATATTGCATTAAAGAAATTAGACCCCGACACCGTGCGTGCGTTTGAAATGGAGCATCGTAGCTCGGAGATGCCTTCCTTTCGTTCATTAGCATCGTTCGTGCGAGATCAAATAAAGGTGATGCAGCGCTCTCCGAACGTTAAACAAGAGATTAAAAGGTGCGTCGACCGTAGACAGACTCAACCATCTAAAATAGCAGGGTCGTTAACTTACGTAACCGCTACGTCAACATCACTTCAGCATACTTGTATCGTATGTAAAGATAAACACGGTAATTTATATAATTGTGCGACTTTTCGTAAATATTCACCAAGCGAACGTTATAAATTAGTAAAGACAAACAACCTATGTCTGAACTGCTTAAGTGATAAGCATTTAGTTGCAAAATGCAATTCGAGTTCCGTATGTAGCAAGTGCGCCAGGAAACATCACACGCTATTACATTTTGAAAATAGCAACATAGCGGCGTCAAGTAAAGCGGACAAGGAATTCACCCCTACTAAGGTCAACGATTCTAGCGGTCGACCTGGTGATGTCGCTCTGTGCTCATTGGCAAATATGGGAGCACAACCTCCTTCAACCGTGTTACTGGGTACGGCGCGTGTTTTGGTTAGGGATTCGCGTGGAAACGAACAAAGCGTCCGTGCACTGCTGGACAGCGGAGCCCAAAATAGCTTTATAACGCGACAATGTTGTCAGCGCTTAGGCTTAGTAATAAATAGGTCACTTTCATGTCCTGTAGTTAAAGGCATCGGAGGTACTAGTAAAGCGACACAGGGATATATAAATTTAAAATTTTATTCTCGGATAGATCGTAATGTTAACTTTGATATAAATGCACTAGTAGTAGATAGGGTCACTGAACGGTTGCCAACCGTTTCGGTTGACACCTCGGCAATTATTGAATTTAAAAATTTGACTCTGGCGGACGACACTTACGCCGTTCCTGGAAACATAGACATGCTCATTGGAGCATCGCTTTTCCCTCATCTTTTGTTAAACAATAAGGTCATGGGCAACTCCTCGCATACCGCGCCTTACGCACTAGAAACCGTATTGGGCTATGTTATCATTGGCTCCGCCCCCATCCTAGATAGTATTTCGGCAACCTCTTATTGTGGTATGGCTGTCGAACCGCTCGAGTCGTTAGTCCGCAAATTTTGGGAGATGGAGGAGGTGAACGTCCCACCCATAGCTAGTTCAGATGACAGGTTATGCGAGGAAATTTACGTCCGCACGACCGTTCGTGATCGCGACGGTAGATATAGTGTAGCGCTACCCTTTAAAGGAGGTGTTTTATCTCTCGGCGATTCGCGTCAAATGGCGGAAAAACGTTTCTACAGCTTGGAGCGTAGGATGCTCGCTTCACCCCAGTTAAAGGAAGCCGTCGTATTTCATACCCCTCCACGGGGTCATTAGGGAGGACAAACTTACATCTAAGTTACGTGTAGTGCTCGACGCTAGCGCTAAAACTAGCACTCACCTGTCGCTTAACGATAACCTCTATAGTGGGCAAAATTTACA